AATGTTTGGCGGCACCCTGTAACCTGCTCCCCCCACCACCCTTTCCCTCCAACTGCACCAATCCAGCCAAGGTCGAGCAGCAGGTTTGCTTTTCAGAAAGGAATGTAAATAAACCATGCGTGCTCCTTCACCTGGCTGGCCATTTAGGGGAAAACTGGGCTTCCTCAGAAGTGACACACCCTGGCCCTGTTACCCCACAATATGGTGGCCATCCTGCTACCATTACTCCAATTCATACACTCATCAAGGGAGAGCTGCAGGAAAGCAGCAAACCTGCCATAAACACAACACAGGGTCACAAAATGCAAAGCTGGAAGAGCAGTATTAGAGCATATGAAAAACAAGAATTTGACCCTGAGGCAATTCCAAGGACAAAAGGCTTGAGTTTACCCAGTACAAAGTAAGGCCTGGCCTAGCTGGCATTGGGAAAGCTGGAGCTAATGCCCTTCTAATCCTCCTTGCTCTCTTCCAAGCTGTAAGGGACTGTCCAAGCCTAGTAAGACATGGAGTTTTCTCCAAAATCCTGAACTTTGCCCTTCTGTAAAGCCTGCAGAAGGGAAGGAAACAAAGTCTAATTAGTCACATGAATGATCAGGGTAGCTGGCCCCATTTCATGAGCTGTAATTAGCACATGAGCTGTCTGCTCCGCACGAAATCTGAGCCCAGGATGGCTGGGGACAGCGACAAGTCCCTAAAAAGAGCAAGCACAGGAGGTAGGGCACTGCCACACACCCAACACGCTGCCTGGTGGGACTCATCAGGCATCATCTACTTGTGTGTGTTACCAGCTGAGCCTGACCTGCAGCAGAGAATTCCCCTGGCAGAGGTTATCACAAGCCTGTGAATGCCATCCCCCTCCAAGCCCCAAAACAAGCGGCTGCTGAATGTACAGGAGGCCCTTCATAGGGCTGCTCCAAAGCCACATTGTTTTGGCAGCCAGTCCAGCTCCCCGGGTGTGACAGCACTGGGGTTTGTCTGGTTCCAGTCTGCTGCCTCACAAATTGCTCAGATCGACCCAGAACCGCGCAGGGTTGAACCAGAGCATCGGCTCTTTTCCTGCACGGCACTGGAGGTGCTCCTGCTGACTGCAGCTAGGTGATGAGTTATTTGGAACCAGCAGATAACAAAGAACTCCGAACACTTGGCATAACTGGCGCAAAGAAGCTGTACATTGCTTTGTGCTATGAGTACATTTCACAAGTTTGCTTCTTTTCAAGGTTATTGTCTCTGCCCTGGTGTCAGGGGAGAGCACACTGTGCAGCTGGGGATCCCACTCAGCTGGCCCTGCAGCAGCACACCACCACTGCAGTCAGAAGGGGAAGTACAGGAGCCAGGGACAGACGGTACTGTGTCCCCTTTGCTCCCCACCCCAGACCTGAAGCACCCACAACCAGCCGGATGCTGCTCAGCAATCCTTTGTCTGTGATATACTCTGCCCCTCCTCCAAGTGAAGCCTTCAAACAGAGCTCCCTGCAGTGCTTCTTGCTGGCTCTAAGTTCCTCAGCAAACCTTTAAGCACCTTCTCACCCATTTCAACAGGCGTCTGAGGATATCAGCAGTTCATTGCATGAGACAGCTTAGGTTCAGCAGATAGCAATGCAAGATGTCTCTTCTCCCAACTTCCCTTCAGTTCACAAACTCACAGGCCCAAATCAGCATCCTGTACAAGCTTCATGCCTTTATTTCTCTTGAGGGAACTTCAGCACCAGCTCTGTCAGGACTTCACCATTTAGGTGTATCTTTCCCTCAAAGCCTGAGAGGACAGCATGCATTTTAGAGAGACCAGAGATACAGCTTTGGACACAGACTGTGCTGACATAGTGGTGTGGGTATGTGCGTCTCTGAACTCCTGCTCCTTTCCTGTGAAACAGCTCAAATTCTCAGGGATCAAGTGACTCTTCAACTGCTGCCTTTGCCCCTTTTCCTCCAGACAGAGGAGGCACAGAAGACAAGGCAATGCCTTTTTGAGAAGCACAACCTTGCAGGGACCCACAGAAGCGTGCAGGAATACCTGCAAGGTGGGATCCAAAAGGTTGTGGGGATTTTTCTGGTATATTGTTTTGCATCTGCCTCTCTTCCTCACCCAGGAGCCTTTCTTACTTGCTCTCTCTTTACAGTCTCAACTTTTCCTGGTGCTCATGCTTAAAATAACCCCAATCCATTAAAAACATCTGTCATCTCCATGCTACACCGTTACTTCTATCCCTTGCCTGCTCTCACTCACTGAAATAACCTGCCTCTGTCCCTTTTGGTATTGCTATAATTACTAGTTATTTTAGACTTCCAGGGTGAGGAGAAAGCATTCATGGTTTCTTCTCCATTCTCTCCCTCAGAGACAATTCACCTCCTTAGAATTAGATTTTCCATTTTGAAAATGAAAAAAAACTTCTCTTAGATCCTAGACGGAGGCAATAGTGGATTTCCCTTTCCAGAGGGGAATCTGAACTATGATGCTTTATCACTCTTCGAAAATTTTCCCACTGGTGTTAAAAAAAAAACCACCACACAACAGAAACAAATGCAAAACGCCCCAAACAAGCAAGTCTGTATTCTTCTTACTTGGGAAGAGACATCATGGTGCAAAAACAGGAGAGGCAACTTTTGTGACTAAATCTCAGAACTGTGAGTAAGAAACTAGAAAACCTACTCCTCTGCAACTGACTCATTCTGTGACAGATCACTGAGATTATCTGAGCATTGCTTTCCTAGTCAGCAAAATAAATGGGTCTTACTAGATTAACATTAATGAAGGAATTTGAGAACGTTACTGCATTGGCCACAGAGGACTTTTTTTTCCCCTTTGCCTTCATCTAAAGCTATTTTAGACTTCATAAGCTGTATCAAGCATACATGACTTTGCCCAAATAATTTACAAGGGCACAGCATTATCTTTCTGCAGACAGCCCAGGGCAATTGCACTGTGCAGGTTTTGTGATCAGGCTCATAGGTTGGACACGCAGCTGCCACAGACCTACCAAACGAGTTTGGGGGAGCCATGTTTGCGTCCCAAATTAAGCAGGGAAGATAGCATTTATCCACGTCCCCAGGATGTTGATAGGCAATGTTCAAAAGGAGAAAATATTAATATTTTCCATCAACACCCCTTTCAAGTCCTCCACAGAGCTCCTTTCTCATATGCTGCAATTCCTCCACCTCTTTGGACTCCCATAACCCCAATCAACCCCCAGCCAGTAAGATCTCCCTAGTATCAAACTTCTGCTTATCAGCTCCTCTCGGACAACACTTTTGAAATATCTTTTCTTTTTCCCTCTTCTTTGCTGTTGGTTTGTTGCTTGGGAATTCCTTATTTAATTGAAACAAAGCCTAAAGGTATAACCCACTTACAATCTGGTTGTTAAACTGACCAAAAGATCTGTGAGGCAACCTTCAGATAGCCTCTACCCAAACACAAGGACATATCTGATACACTCACTGAGGGAACAAAAAGCATTCATTCAGGAAAGGGCAGGAGATGGTTTCTCCTGGAATGTCTGATGAAACATATGATGTTCTTCTCGGGGTATGTTGAAGATCATCTGGAAGATTTTGCTAACACAGAGTTTTCCCTGATGATCCTTCCACCACCTGGCTGTAATGCATCTCACCTATCAATCCCAACAGCAGAGTGGCACATCACAATGCCTCTGACACATTTTGGGACAGTGTTAGGGCAGCCTCTAAAATCATTATAATAAAAGCATGAGTTAAAGCAGCTGCTTACTCTCTTTCCATCCCTGGCACAGCCTCCTATTCACCTATGCAAGGACACCAAAAAGACTGAATGTGGGACTGGATGTTCACAGCACATAGCAAAGGTCTGACAAGCAATGAACAGCAAGAATGAGCAAGTGCATAAACTTACAAGTGGAGAGTTTAAATGGGCATCAACCTTCAAGCACCAGGCAACACAACATGAGAACAGAGAGTCTTCATTCTAAGCATTTTAAGAACTGCAGCCTTGTTCTGACACTAGTGCAGCTGTTGACGGTCTTCTTCTCTCTAAGTGCGGCATCTCTGCTCCACTTTCTCAGGCCACCTCCTTCTCCCACGTTCCCCAAGCTGCCCTGAGCACAGGGACTGCAGGACAGCAAGTGCCCGTGGGCCCGCCAGGGCACAGGGTGGGTGCTGTGTTCATTGCCCGAGCTGGTGCTCCATGCTGTGAGCCAGCTCGTGCTGCAGGAGCCAGGGCATGGCCCTGCCAGGCACCGCTCGCCCCACAGCTCAGGGCGGGCAAACACTCCCAGCTGCCCAGTGCTTGAGTCCTTCGGGTAGGGGACACTGCACTGACTGGGCAAGCTGCATACCCCAGGGCCAGCCCAGCCAGAGGCTGCTGTCCCACAGTCCCGGTGTCCCCTCAGCCCCGGTGTCCCTCAGCCCCGGTGTCCCCTCAGCCCCCGCTGACCCGTCCCACAGCCCCGGGGTCTTGCGGCGCCCCTCGTGCCGCCGCGGGTCACGCGCCCCGTTCCCGCCCGGACGCGATAGGCTGCCCTGGCTGGAGCCCAGCCAATCAGCAGCACCCCGAAGCCCCCGAAGAGGCGCGTGCGGGAATGGCCCTAAGCCAATCACGGGGCACGGCGGTGCCGGGGGGGCGTGGCGCGGACCACCGGCCCGCGGCCCCTTTAAATGCGCAAACTTCACCCTGCCACCCCGAGACCCCCTCGCGCCCGGATTGGCTGGCGGGGCCCCCGCCGGAGCCGCCTCGGGCTGTGCAACCCGCTATTGGTCAGCAGCACCCGTCAGTCAGAGCAGAACTCTCCCCTGATTGGCCAGCGCGCCGCTGGTCCCGCCGCGGAGGCGGGGCCCGGCGTTTCCCCGAGGAAGGGTCCGGCGGACGCCCCCGGGGGCGTGGGCCCGGACGGGCGAGCGGGGGCGCGGGGAGGGTCGGGGGGCGCGGGTGCGGCTCTCACCGATGCGCTGCCCCACGGGGGAGCTGAAGGGGTTCCCCAGCAGAAAGTCCATCGCCGCCGCCGCGCCGCGATCAGCTGACGCTGCCGCCGCCGCCGCTCACGTGACCGCGCGCCGGCCGGGGCGGGCCCCGCCGTGACGCCAGCGGCCGCCGCCCGGACCGGCCCCGCCGTGCCGCGGGCTGAGTGAGGCGTGCCGCGGCCGCGGCTGCCGGGGCAGGGCGGTGTGTGAAAGCCGACGGGTCCCCGGTGCTGCTGGCCCTCCGCCCCGCCCGCAGGAACCGGGGGGCTCCCGCCGCCGAGAGCCTCCGCCGCATCCTGCAACCACGCAGAGCACCCGCGAGCCTGAGCGATGCCCAAGTCCTGGAAAGCCCGTGGAGATGAGTTTTTAATTTTCCATAGCCCAGTGTGAGTAGGAAGGACTCCCGATGCTCCCGGTAGGAGTTAGGAAAGAATTCTTTACTGTGAGGGTGGTGAGGCACTGGGACAGATTGCCGAGTTGTGGATGTACCATACTTAAAATTTTGTCTTCCAGGCCAGGTTGGATCGGGTTTTGAGCAAATTTTTTGTTGAAGGTGTCTCTATGGCAGGGGTGTTGGAAATCATCTAAGGTCTCTTACAACCCAAACTGTCCCGTGACTCTACACAGGGTGGTTGGCACCTCTGGGATGTGCTCCTGGCCTAAGCAATTGCCCTGCCCAAGCTGAGGCTGCAATCAGCCAACACCCATACCTGGAAAATGGGGACGTGTTAATAACCAGCACAAATCCTGCTCTAACGCTGCCACGCCTGACTTCCTGCATCACACACTCGAGTCCCGTGTACTGGTGTCACCTGAATGCCACGAAGCTGAACTGAGGTGAGGCAGCAGGGAAGACAAATGCCCTGGTGTTACCTGCAGTGCTCCATGCTACATCTCCCTTCTGGGGGGTCCCAAGCAGTCAGGAACCTGAGCGATAATTTGTGTGACTGGTGCTGCTGGAAACAGCTTGTCTGCCAATTGAGTGAGTTTAGGAGGGTTAGGGTTGGATGTGTTTTGCTGAGAAACACCAAGTAGTAACAACAGCTGCAGAAAACAGCACATGCCAGAAATAAATGACAATACTCCAGAAGTTGAAAAAAAAATTATATTGTAAGTACAGTACAAAAAAGTCTGTGTATAATTGTAATGTAATCTGGACCAAACAGCAAAGAAATAACAAAAATATAAAAACTGCTAAGTCTTGACAAAGTTTCCCTACAGTACCAAATACCACAAGATACAGATTATACAAAGTGTACAAATTTTAATAAAAATACAATACACCAGGGTCCTGTGTGTTTTTCACTCTTCAAGAGTTTTCAGTTGTACAGAGGACAAAGCGAAAGTTGATCCCCTTCTGTTTCTTCAAAAGCAGATCTACCTCTTCACCAAAATGCTCTCAACTCTGAAGGGCTGGAAAGAGCTGGTTATTTTGTGCTGCTCACAACAGCAGATGCTTTACTATAGGCTAAGATCTGAAGCAGGATTGGACTGCCTCCCTCCTGGGCCCTTCCTGTTTCCAGGCCCATTGGGATTTGTCCTAAGCTGTTAAAGCGGGTTCTGGCCTGATGGTCTGAGAGCCTTCTGTGCCTCCTCTGCTGAGAAAACCCCTCACTGCACTGAGAAAAGATCTGTAAGAGACAGACTACCTTGTAGAGGCACATCTGGGGAATACGCGGCAAAGATGCATGGGGAGAAGAACCCTCCACACCCCAGGATTTAATTTACTTCTGATTTGGGGCTCAGCCACAATGAGGGACAGCTCACTTTCAACTGTCCTAAGAAACAGAAGCTAGATTTACTTGGAAGTAAAAAATGCCTCTTCTTTTATTTTAAAACTTTCCTGTTACAGAGGTGATAAGGCCTGAGTCAAATAATATTTCAGTTGTTCTGCCCACCTTCACAAGATAGCCTGTTTCCACAAACTCCTAGAATCTTCCTGGTGCTTCTTTACACAATGCCCATGCTTACTACTATACATAGAGTTGATTCCTGCAGGAAGTGAGCTGAGAAAAAACTTGATTCACATTTTTCACGCACTGTTGGCTGAGGGAGGAATTTTTGCTTTTAAATTATGTATATATATAAATATATATACACACACACAGAGAAATATACAGGATAAATTAAAATCTGTTACAGATATTGGTAAAAGTTAAATACATGTGATATGAACACCACATACACATACATACACACAGACAAAAGCCTAAACAGGAATCAAGTGTTCTCCTGCTGCTCCTCTTCCAGAGGAGCAGAAAACCAAACTCCAGGTATGTGGCTGGAAAGAAGGGAAACCGGTCCAATCAACCCACATGTGCCTGACTTGGCCGTAACTGCTTCAAACTGGCCACTGGTCACTGCCTTGCAGCAGCACCAAAGCTCCTGCAATAGTGCTGGTGAGAGAGATGGGGGACGAGCCATTTCACAAAACAGGTGCAATATGGGCAAGAAGCAATTCAAGTTTTTCCCATCTGCTTCTCTACTCCTTTCCATCAAAGTACGCTGACCATGCTGCGGAAAAATCAGCACGAGGTTCATTTTCTCAAGCCAATGCAATGGGTTGATACATTGTGCTAATGATGATTTGAGTATGAGTCCATAAGGAAAAAATAAACTTCTTGTCATCTACTTCACTTCAAATACCAGATACCAGACCAGACAGCCGATAATATCAACTTTCAGTTATTACTGTTTGAGGAGTAGGGGTTGGAGAAAGTGACCAAGAGGCAAAAAGCTATCCAGCTTTCCCCTCAAGAAGTGTGTTTTAAACAGAAAGAGTTACAGATAGGGCTGGTGAAGAATTCAGTTCTATTCCCTGGTCCAAAATGTATCATCTCTACCTGCCCACAGAATATCAGAATACTTTAGTTTAAGCAGGGATATCAGGAGATCATCTGGTCCATCTCCCTTCTTAAAGCAAGTCCAACAAGAGCAGGCTGCTCATTCCGTTTTTGAATATCATCAAGGAAGGAGAGTCAAGAACCTCTCTGGGCCACCTGTTTCAGTGACCCCTCTCATGGTGACAGCTTTCTTGTTTATATCGGGAAGTCCATTCTCTGTTTGCTTCCCCCAGTAAATCTGAATTTAAGGCAAATATCTCAAAAGCTTTCTGAATTCTTCATACAAAATATTTTCAGATTGGAGGACATTTCACCCACCAACACAAAAGGGTTTTCTCAGCTTAACTTCACAACTTTTTATAAAATAGAAGTAAAATAGTTACAATCCTATGTATATACTGTACATATATAAACTTTAAAAGCCTCCACATGGAGCCCTTCAGGAGCGCCGGCATAGTGCACGTACACAAGTCAGTTACACAGAGGTTGAGTACATCCCAGGATCCTTTCCCATCAAAGTCCAGGCATGATGTAGGCAATGTTGTCTAGTGTGTTTGACTAGGAAAAGAAATTTGGTGTTTTTTAGCATCAGGTAATAACTTGAAATCCTTAAAAAATGGCACAGATGAGGGTACTAAGCACAGTTACAAGTTGAGTTACAAGTTATCATAGGATGAGATAACCAAAGCTGCCTATTGATCACCTCTAATAGGGTATCAGATGGCAAAAATAAGTGCCCTTCAGTTTTTCTTGGAAAGTGTAACAGAATTCTGAGAATCCTTCTCATGCCCATCAGAAAAAAGACCCAGCTGTATGTTTTTCAGATGCAGTGTTTCAGTAAGATCAAGCCCGTGGCTGGATAGCTGAAGGAGGCCTTAGGAGCAGCACCTTTAACTGAGAGATGGAGGAGGTGGAGCTGCACCAGTTGTGATTCTAGAATTTACAATGCCACCTACTGTCTCAAATATAAATTGCAGCACAACTGCTGGGGTTTATCGTGTCTCAGAACACCACTGTCATTATGTGTCTGACTGTGAAAATCACATTATCAGCTCCTGAATAGGGTTTCCAGAAGTGAAGCGTAACTGCCATAATTCACCTAAAGCTCTATTGCTCCTTATAACAATAACTTGATCAAGTTTCTAATAAACACACCACTGGCCATGTGGTGTCACTGCTCTGAATAAACTTGGCAAGCAGGAAGGAAAAAAAGCATCAGTTTTTCCATGGCTTAAGATGGGAACACCCCACTGACTCAGCTTTTCTGCACAGAGCCAGTTTGTGGGTGTTCACAGACTAAATTGTCAACTTTGTTCCTGCTGTTGACAGTCCATTCTTTGTAATGAATAAATGTTTGGGCTGCCCTATTATGACATGTGAATTCATATCTCATTTTTGTTGCCCCCTCTGCTGGATTTGTTTTTAGTCTCTTAACTTTTACAGACTGCATTTTTTTATTTTTGCTCCTCTCCTTTGCTGCTTTATTCATGTCTCCTGTAGGAAGTATGACATGTGATGGCTACTGCCATCTTAATCTATGTCCACATCAGGCTACACAGATGCAACGAGCTGTTGCTAAATCAGGGCTCAATATTAAGAGAGGCTTAAAGCAGAAAAGAAACTGTAGTTATGTAGCTCCTTAAGGCAGAGATTATTTTTCTTTGCTCAGAGATGGTTTCAGCCACTTGTAAAAGGTCCTACACCATCACATTAGGAATCCTGAGATCACAAGCTGCTTTTTAAGCTAATGAAGGAAAAACAGCTTGTGTGTTAAAGAGCAGCTAGAAGGTGGGCTTTATTTTATGGAAAATTAGAACTTTTGAAAATACTGGTTTACTTTTATTTGATTCACATTGATTGACTCCATCATGACTAAAACAGGACCTACCCACACTGCAATGAATGCTACAAATATTCGGTCAGTTGCCAGTGGGAGAAAGAAAGGTTGCACAATATTGTACAACGGTAATATCTGTAAGAATTTCAATAAACATTCCTCTATAAAAGCCCATGACCAAGACAAATTCTCTTATTGCATTGGAATTATAATTATATTACACTGATTAATCAAAAAAAAAGCTCTATTTGGACTCTACTGAAATGCACAGTGCTAGAAAGAAAATAACCACAAAGAACTCACCAAAACATGCTTTGGGCAGCCATTCAACTCAGGCAGTTGTGTGGTCAGACACGCCAACGGGCCCAAAGCACAGATGATTGAATCTAGGAGTACTGACAAACTTCCAGAAACAGCCACCATTCCCTGGCAGTGACGGAGGGAGAAAATTGGATAGGGATGAGTAGTGGAAATTGCGCTTCTTTCTCAACTGTATCCACTCTCAAGCAGATACTGTATCTTCAGCTCCTCCAGTCCACTTCCACTATTTACACAGTAACAGAACTGTGCCTCTCGCTTCACAGAGAGACTGCTGGCTCAAAAAATTTAGAGTTTAAGAGGCAATGAACTGGCGCAAGATAAAAGCAGGAATCAACAGAAAACACCAGAAAGTTGTCAGCTGCATAAAACACTGATTCTACAAATTTTTGTAATATATTTTCTGTGCCATTTTGTACCATCTATTTTGTTAACTATGTGAGTTCTAATGACAATACCTGTTTTAGTTTTGAAGTTAAAGAAATGCTAAGCCTCTAACAAATGCTTTAGTCATTGATATACTTTCTGGAAAGCGAATTTGTCTGTGTGTTTTTCTGGGCTCTGGTTATTCCTCTCATGATGTTAAATCAGTCATACCAAAACCAAAATGCAAGAACATTTACTTCACTGTTAATAAAATAAGCAAGCATAGTGGGGTGAGCCTGTCATGCTACTCATAGAATTCAGTGATATTATTTGAGACAAATATGTTTTCTCCTAAGAGGCTGGGCTGAGTTCTCAGAGCGTACAGGTGTGAATGCGCATTCACAGAGTCATTGTCAATTAACAGTAAGAAACCACTAGAATGTGACATTACGTTACCAGGCAAGTTGAAACAATTGTAGCCTTTATCCAAAGCACTGGCAATATGATACTGTCAGAAAAGTAGAGGACATGCAAAAAACGTCTTGGGAAAGGCTGATAGTTTTCTAAAAAGTAGAACAGTAACAGAAACTGACCAGAGACTGACAAAATAGCAAGGAAGGTTCACCAAAACCAAGGTGAACATACAGCAAGAAAAGATTGAAGTTTGCTGAACTACAAATTGGTTTCAAGGACCTAGAACTGCAAAGCACCTATCTTTCTTTGGTGCCTACTGTTTACTGAGGACTTTTATTTCACTGAAAATAAAGAGATGCATCAAAGAAACAGGGCATGTGACCTCTAGTTTCTCTTCCTAACAGAAAACCACTGGTTAAACTTTTAAGAAAATAAAATAATCATCCCCTTGAATGCATTGTGTAGATTACAGGACATCACTGTGACATTGCTGGTTACAAGCTCACCTCTGTTTCCTGCAGTCTGTGTCCAATGAGGCTCAGAGATTCACCCAGTAACTGTAAATGCGCAGCTACATCAATGGGGTCTGTCTCAGGGGCTTTGGCTGGTGAGGAAGGCACCACCACGGTGCTGGTGGGGGATTTTTTGTGAGGAGAAACCACTCCTGTTGGAGAAGCTGAAAAACACACAAATTAAAACTCCATATTTCTTGTTTTCACTCTTTTACTCACAAGCCCATTTAGTTACTAAAGTTCAAATCTCATAGGCATGATGCTTAAATAGTTCTGCTGCCTCAGTCTTACAGTCTTTGGAGTTGAAACTTTTTTTTACATGTACAGAACATCTACCTCAGCTGAATGCAGTCGGGGAGATTTGGTATCAGATGCTAAACCAAGCACAACCCATCTTCCCTCTAGCAGCAAGCTAATCCCAATAGAACCTCCTTTCTGTCTCTTCTTTTACATTTCAATCCCTAAACTCCCAAAACCAAAACCATTCTATGAATCAGATAAGGAAATCTTTTTGAAAAATACTGACATCATTCTCACTCTCACAGAAAAGTTGATTTGACTGATTTAAATGTCATGCTTTGTGAGAAAGCAGGTAGGGAAGTGAAGCAGGTAAGGACCTTTGCTTTTTATTCCACAGGCAACACTACCTTCCCTGTCCAAGAAAAGAGATGAGACAAATAAAGTGCAACAATTACCTTTCATTTTTGGTGCACCATCTGAAGATGATGCCTTTCTCTTCACAGTGGTGGCCTCTGCTTTATTCTGCTTGTGTTGGAGATACTGAGCTTTCTGTTTCCAGATCTGCAGTTACCATGGTAAGAAAATAAAGATTCATAACATTAGGTAATTCTGTTACCTGATGCCAGCACCTGGAGGCAGAATGATGTTACATAGCTAGGAGGTAGCTAGGAGGAAGAACTCCCCTGAGAAAAAAATAAATTGTTTTATGTTTGCAGGGGCAAGATTTCCATACCTTCCACCTTTACATACATATTTCAAGGCATTGTGGCAATGCTGCCACCACATTCTGATCTAAGCACCTAGTTCACAGAAATCATTTTACAAAAACATCTCACACAAACACTCACCAGTTTATCCTTCTCAGGTAGCTGCTTCCACACTTCTGCCAGTTTTTTACTTAGCTCTCCAAAATCTGGCAGAAAAAAAGAAGAAAAATGTTTAAAACAAATTTGACCAAAAGATCCTGGAGAGAACATAGGAAATCTACCAGCCCATCCATACACATTTAGGAAGCAAGCCATTCTACAACTGGAACTCTCCACACTGTTCTGAAAATGTGCATTCCTGTTACTCTTTAAAATTAAGATAAAAACTTATAGCAGGAAGATGAAGTCACAGTGTATTTACAGAAAAGTGACAACTGAGGTAACTCTTTAACTAAAGAAAAAGCTAGCAAGTTCTTTACCGACATTCACAACTTGGTTAAAATAAAATTATAATATGACCATGAAATCCACTCCCCTCCCCCCTTGCCATCTTTTACGCTAAATAACATTGGCAGATTCTTTGCATTATGTCAAAATTAAGAAGTTGGTCTGAAAGAGAGACAGTAAGTTCTGCTAATTAATCTGACTGGTGTAAAATCAAGAGAAGAGAAGGCTGGATTATTCCTTTACCTATTCCAGGATGCTCAGACACAATAGTTGTACGATATTCCTTACAGAACACTTGATAAGCAGACATGTTTTTCTTCTTTGGCTAGTCAGAAGAAGAAAGAAGACAAAGATTTTTAATTATGATGAGATCTTCTCCGATTTAATAAGAATTTGATATTTATTAAAGACTTAAAGAAAGATATGGTACTTAGATCAGGAATCTTAAAAAGCAATTCTTTATGTATTCTGGCTGAATTTAGTCTTTATGAAAGCACAGGAATCAGCCAGAAACAGTCTTAGTACAAGGCTTATAATGCAAAACTCAACAAGCTGCTATTCTAAATTCAGGATCAACATACAACTTTGTTAATGTATTTCAGTTTTAAAACCTATAATAAAACCCAGTATCTCTTATACTATTCACAGTACCTATTACAGATCTGTCAAAACAATTAAGTCCTCATCATAATGTTTTGTTCCAATCCTTGCATCCTTACAAAATATTTCCATTTGGCAGGAAAAGAGACTGTGCAGTACATTGACAGCAAAGGTATTGCAATTGCTGAGCTATGATGAGGGAAAAATTACCAAACAGATTAGGATAATGGCTGAAGAGATTTGGGCTCTGTCTGTCCAATTCCTCATACAAAGCATTATTTCTCTATCTGAACATGCACAAGCTGCTTTCCCCCATTTACTTAGACAGCTACAGTTATCTCATTTGTAAACTTGTTCATATGCTGGCTACCACTTCTGCTACTCATATATTTATGCAGTAACCATGGAAAACTGAATGTATAAGTACAGGCCAAAACTGGGAACAAGGTAGTCTATCAGAATTAGAATTTCATTTAATACAGGAGCAAATGGGTAAATGTCTTCAATTTTCAGGTAGCAGCTTGATTCCTTTTTACAGAAACTTTAATCACTAGTCAAAAAGTCTGCCTAGGAATAGCTAGCACCAGTCACATTAGAAAAAGATGCAGATGTGCTTGGTACATGACCCACATCAAGCAAAATTAAGTATAACTTTCCCAGAGAACCTTTAATGGCTAAAGACCATCTGTGCCACAAAGCCAGAAGAACATATATTCCTTCTGCTACAAACAGAAATCACAGCGGCTGACATATTTCCAAACATGCTTCAGTTAAACCACTGATAATTGGTATCAGTTATTCTTGGTTTCAATTTAACATGCCTTTGTAATGGAGTACCTAATTCACCATTACCCTCCACCCAATTTTTATTTTTCCTTCAAATTTTCCTTACTTTGTCTCGTTCTCTTTCCTTTTCTTTTTCTCTTTCTTTTTCCTTTTCTCTTTCCTTTTCCTTTTCTCTTTCCTTTTCTTTTTCTCTTTCCTTTTCTTTTTCTCTTTCCCTCTCCTTCTCTCTTTCCTTTTCTTTTTCTCTTTCCTTTTCCTTCTCTCTTTCCTTTTCTTTTTCTCTTTCCTTCTCCTTCTCTCTTTCCTTTTCCTTTTCCCATTTCTCAGCCTTGTCCTTCTCCTTCTCCTTGTCTTCCTTTTTCCTCCTCTTCTCACCTTGACCATCTGAGTGAAAAACAGCAGGAGGAGGTGGAGGGACAACGTAGGGGGTACTGGCAGGTGGTGGTGACACTCTTACTTCTGCTACTGCCACAGGAGAGTGCCCAGAACTCTTTTTAGACTTGGAATGCTTCTTCTCTCTGTGTTTCTCCTTGTCCTTTTTTTTCTTACTTTTTTTGGACTTCTTCTTCTTCTTAATTTCCCGGTAGGAGTCATCTATCACCAACTCTCCAGCCTCCAACTCTCCACCAGAAGAAGAACCAGATTCTGGCGGTGCCTCCATACCTGAAACCTCATACTCGCTTCCATGGCCCTCTGAATGAAGGGAGGTGTCAGCACCAAAAGTCTCAGAAGGTGGATGTGAGTCTAGAGGTGGTTTGTGCTTTTTCCGGGATGACTTCAGGAAGCTCTGCAGATCGTGCCCCAGCAGGAATGAGCCTTGCTCATCTCGAGCTGATTTCTTTGAAGATTTCTTTACAGCTGCTGGTGCTGAAGAGTAGGATAAAGAATCATCATCTGCTGCACTACTTTTCTCTTTTGGTGAAAGGATGAGCTTCATCTTCAAGCCGTCAGGTTCACGAAGAGTAAGTGTCTCTGTGTTCACATAAAGAGGTTTCATTTTTTTAGATTTGTGGGAGCTGCTGTCATCCACTGAGTGCTCCCCACTGCTCCCACTCAGCTTCTTCTTGGGATGCTCCTTTCTGCTTTCAGAATGGCCAGAGGAAGAATGAGATGATTTTTCGGAGGTCTTCTTTGAAGACTTTGAGCTTGTGGCCAAAGGTGAGTTGATAGCCTTAAGTAAATCCATGGTTGTATCAGCTGAGGATGGGCTAGAAGCTGTTTTTTTCTTTTTCTTTGATGGTAGATCCAAAGGCGAGACACCTGAAAAAGATCAAAAGAAATGTACATTGAGATGATTTATTAAAGACAGTGAAGAAGGGAAGTGAGGATCCTGTGAGCCTTCCAATTACAGGTGACAGATTTCCATCCTGGCTTAAACAGAACCACATTCACCTCAGCACAGCCTTACTGAAACAATTCAGAGGCTGTGACACCTGAGCTGATCAAATAATTTAAGGAAGGGAGTGACAGTAGGAAAGTTCTTGAAGTTTTGTGAAACTCCATTTGTGACTTGTGAAATAAAATGTTTTGATGAAAATACATCTAACTGAAATTACACCACAAGCAGGGTTTTTATGACATTATTAGCCAAGGTGAAATGAATGAGTTGAAAATATGAGCTTTTTCATTCTGTAGACAGATGTTGATGAAAGATGAAACTTCAGCTTGGCTTTCTTCTTCTGTTGGATCAATAATAAATCCTAAATGTGTTAAGCATCTATGATCCGAATTGTCATTTTCTGGCCAACTCATTAATTGTGAGAATAGATGAACAGAAAGCAGTTATTTTTCAACCTTGGATATTCTGGTTTTAAAAATTCAGAGCAAGTTCTTTACCTGTAAGTATAATTAGTTTTCAATGCAATTGGTAAACAAGAAAAGCAAATGTCAAATGTGAAGGCATGAGTTAGAAAACTACAACTTGTCAATGAAAAGGGGATGGAAGATCTCTACTCCCTACAATAAGAATTTGTTAAGATAGACTGAAAATATAATTCCCTAATCTTCTGGTGTCTGGTGCTGATCAGTGTCAGGCTTCTGATTAATTGTTCTAAGGCAGGTTGATGTACTCTCCTCCTATAAAATGCTAACCACAAAGCTTGATGACACTGGTTTAAGAGCATCCTTTCCTTAAAGTCATGATCTGTTAGCCCCTTCTGCTTGATTACTACCTTACCTCTGTAGCAGAACTCATCGGAGGAATGCTTTCTCTTCTTTTTGTGGGCTTCTGTCCCCGGAAAAAACTCAGTGTCCTGGAATAAGAAGAAAAATGTTGCTGTCAAAAAGGAGGGAAATAATATGAGAGTCACATAGACTATTAACAGATAAAAAATTATAGGAGGTATCTAACACCAAGGATCCATAGGTATGAAATAGGATCATCTTTCTAGGTGCTAAAAGAGAACTTACTCTGTCCCCCAGAGCACATGGTGTAGGTTTAAAGTAAGATGAAACACATGTTACAGATAGGTGGGAGAGTACTAAACATATAATTAGTCTGGACTGGTTTCAGCACAATGGTCACCTAACTGACATCGAGCTTTCTGTAGGCACGTCAGCACAACAGGGCTCCAAGGAAACTGAAAGACAGATCTCTGCAGGGAGACCCCCAAGTGAGAGGAGCAACAGAAAAGAAAAAGTACATTTGCAAAGTGCTGAGATATGGGCAATGCAAACTATCACTTGGAAATCAGCTGATAAGTTGATAAAAGACAGACATCTACCCTTTAAATAAAGATAAGAAATAACTTCAGATGCATAGACTGTCAAGCCTTGAAAACAAAGGGGAGCAGCTCATGCTTGCTATGCTGAAAAAGAAGTAACAGGAGGTACAAAAAGGTGACAACTAGAAAGAACAAAAATATGTCCTTAATATTCTATCACCTAATTTTTATCTGTCTCTTGATCAATTTATGAATCTGAAACTGAAGCTCCTCTAAATAAACCACATGGTAGATGATTTTAAACAAGAACTTGCTTTTGAGATGACAAAAAACCCCAAATCACTAGATAGCCACCTCTGAGCTAACAGCAGAAAATGTAGCTCAAAGACGAAAGCTTTGAAGAAAATTAAGGTTGCCACTATGTGATTTCAAGAATTAAGGCCCCTAAGAGATAAAAAGGGCAAGTTCATTCTCCTCAAGAGCTACAGTTTCAGACTGTCTGTAGAATCAGGAAGACAATAGTGCATCAGTTAATATTCTATCCATCCTTTGCTGGCTATTTATACAACTGTAAATGCTACCTTTTAAAATTTGGTAAGAAGTTATTCATAGCATTTTCTTACTTGCAAGGTTCTACATCAACACTGGGACATCACTCCTACTACCTCATTTTCTGAGGCCAGAAAAATCAGAATCAGGTCTTGATCCCCTCCTTTTCCCCAGGAGAGTAACTGAACAATACAGGACATGATTAGCTGCTCTTGCTGCCTTCTACATGCATTTCTAAATAAAAATTCATAAAAAGGAGAAGAAACCCATTCCATCCCATCACTACCTTTATGCATATCCTTACACCTTGAACCTTTCCTGTGAGGGTTTCTACCTGAGTCGATATCTCGTCTTCCTCTTGCAGAAGATCCTTGTACGAGCGCTTTTTCTCTCGCTGTATCCTGCCAGGTGCCAGCCCGTCATCAACACTCCGGTGACTCTCTAGGGACTCTGATTTATGCAAAATGGGAAAAAAGGAAGAAATGAAATACCACATTAAGGAATGACAGACAAGTGGACCACTCATAAAATAAACTAACAGAGGATATTGGCATAGAGTGATGCACAAAACCCAACAAGCACAGAGGCCTGAAAGGTAACAAACAGTCTGTACTGTCTGACCAGAGGGATGGGGCTCAGTGCTCTAACAAAATCATTCCAGATTTAATCTCTAATGCCTGTATGTTCCTTCCTAAAGACAAATGGACCTAGAAATGTTACCATGACTAAATGTATCTTATCCTTCACCCCGTCCCACTGACTTGGTAGGGAGAAGAAAGGCTGCAGTGGCAGAGTTCCCAATCAGGGTGTCTGCAGTAGGAAACACCACCCATTTATCTCAAATTCTAATCCCAGTACTTTTCACCTGGAAGTCAAGGGCTTGGGGTCCTCCAGTAACTTGGCCAGGTTAAATTTAAGGGCTCCACAGCACCCTAGCTTCTGTCCCACTCTGCATGGCCTGGCAAAGGCTGCAAAGGACATCCTTTTAAAAAATGCATTTGTTTATTCTTTTTGCAAATCCCTCTGAGATTATGAAGCAGTCATACCTTCTTTCTTCTTGGCGCCATCATAAGCCATGGTGGTCCTGCAGGAGCCTGTGAATGAGTTGCCACGTCTGGGCTCCTTCCCCCGTTCCCATCTATAGGAAAAGGTCTGAGAAACAGAGAATGAAAATAACCCTCCCAGAAAGAAGAATGATGATATGTAAATGGGGAAACTTTCTCTGAACCAAAATAAAGATTCTTTTGGAAGTGGGAAAGGAAATGAGTGGTCACTCTTCAGGCTTGATAGATTTGGGTTTTTTTAATCAAAATGGACATTGTATTATTTTAAATATAGAAAATACCATCTTTTCTTATAAAATATCTGAATCACTGAACTAATTTATTTACAGAAATAGAAAGAGGGTGAGAAGACAACTGAGTTTGATTTTCATGACACACAAAACTGCACCCTGTGTCAAAGCCATTTTTTGTCATTAGCCACTGTAGCAAAGAGTGGGATGTTTAAAGAGATTTTAAACCCTTGAGTCTCAGATGAAGTGAAGGAAAAAGAAGGGACCAGGTAGAAGGAATTAAATTACAAAAGAATTATTAGGTTAAAGGTTTTTTTTTACTAGAGGATCACACATTTTGTATTAGAGATGTGTATCCTTCTGATGTGTTTCCCAGTGCTACCACTGCAGCCATTCTGAATGCAAGCCTGGGAGAGGGGATGGAAGAGAGCAACCCAACCTCTGCTCCCCAGGTTTCAAGCTTCCTCCAAGTAAGCCACTGTGCCAGCTAGGGGCATACAGCAGGACAGTGCTGCTGTGGAATAGCCACACTCTGGTTCTCTCAGAGCAAACAGCTTTTGTTCCTCAGCCAGATCAATGTTCTGCTCCTATGGGATCAATCCAATCGCTGCCGGCTGCCTTTGTGTGTTTGTGTGTACATGCACATGTGTAAATACCCAGCCACAAACACCACGCAGCCCTCTCATCCCAGCTGTCATGGTAATCCCTCCACATTGAAGCCACATGAGACTACTTTGGGAGCAGGGAACCTGTGCTTGTACATCCCCCATGTAACTCAATTTTATGAACTGGCTGAGACTGACAATGTTCAACTCATTCACCTACAGTGGTTACTTAACTGATACAATGAAGTCACAACTAATCACGCTTGTGGGCACACAGGAGATGTTTCTGTTTGAACTCATAGGGATACATGCTATTTCTTCAGGTTTTGGGAAAACACCCACTGCAGAATGTCTAGACAGTGTTCTGACCATTATATACTGCTGGTAGCAAACACAAAGATTCCACCTATACACAAGAGCACTGCACTCAACAATAAAAAAAGAGCATCTTGCCACTTGTGGGCTAGTGATCTTAAACCAGGCGTTGTCAATATTTTGTGCTCTTTGTCATGCAGACTTCAGTGAGAGGACACACAACACCTTGCTCAAGACAGGAAGGGACTAATACAGACACTGATCAGCAAAACAAAGCTGAAGACTAATTCATGAATGGATGACCTGGAGAGACTAGGATTTTTTTGTACCTACATGCCTACCTTTTAGTCTCTATTAAAATTTTATCTGCCTGGCAAGGACAAAGGTTGGTAGATACTGCCCAAAAGGTGCTCACAGCCCAGACCTCCAATTCGGCAAATACAAAACATACCATTAACTACTCTCATCTTGTAAACCTCAGTTAGGCTCCCCTGCTTCAAATTCCCGGGTTTCGTTAGCGCTGGCACAGGCTCAGCGGGGAAGCTCTCCCTGCACGCCTCCCGTTCCTCAGCGCACATGCCAGTGGGTCCAAGGCCCAGCCTGGCTCTTCTGCAGCGCCGGGGCTCCGCACGGACCCCGCTCCCGCAGCCCGTGTGCCGCCAGCGCTCCGGGCCGGGCCGAGCGGGCAGCGGCACCGCCGGGAGCGCCGCGCGCGGCCCGGGGCGCCAGCCCGGCACCGCCACTCCGCGGGCCCGGACCGCGCATGCGCCCCGACACCCCCCGGAGCCCAGGGCCCGCCGCCGCCTCCGTTCAAAGCGGGCTCGTCCGCTCCGCTCCCGCCCGCCCGCGCGTCCCCTCACCCGAGCGGGCTCCAGCCTCACGCCAGCCCTCGGCTCCGCCCCTGCAGCACGCCCGAGCCTGCCCCGACTGCGGGGCCGCCCAGCGGCGACAAGGCCCGCCGGCGCCGAGCCGCGGCCGCAGGGTGGGGACGGGCCGCGGCCGCCTCACTCGGCCCCGCCGCTTCCCGCCGCGCCGCCGCCCGCGGCCGCCATCTTGGGCAGGCAGACAAGGGACCGCGCCAGCGCCGGCCAGCCGAGCGCCGAGCGCCTCCAACGCGGCGCCCGCGGGGCGGGGCGCCGGCTTGCCGAGCGCATCGATGTCCGGCGCGGCGCGTCCCCGCGGGGCCGTGCGGCACTCGGGGACACACACGGGACACACACGGGACACACACACCGGGTGTCTGTGCCCGCCCGGGCTCCGACCCCACCACCACCACTGCAGGCGTGCCCACGTTCGCCCTAGCTTGGCACAGCCTCCTCCTGGTGTGTGCGGGTGCTGCGCGGCCCCGGCACGGCTTCGCCAGTCCTGTCCGTGTCCGTAAGAGACCGAGCCGGCTGCGCTCGCAGCCCGGGCTGGTTGTCGGCCGCTTGTTGCTGCCGCGGTGGGTCAATGGGAAAGGGTGAAATCCTGTTGTTAAACAGTTAAAAAGCCAGCACTTCCGTGAGATTAGTCACACACGCACATGAATGGGCGCATCTCCCTCAAGACTGTCTCATTCCCCGAGGAACTGCGCGGATGCACCGCACAGGTGGATTCGGTGCCAGCCGGGGCAGCGATGAGCACGACTGAACAGTCCGCTCGGAACTGCTGCCCGGGAAGGCATCATGCAACCTCGCACCCATTCTTATCGATTGTCCAAAGGTGGCAGCCAAGAGAAAGAAAAATTGCCCCCAGCATCTTCTAAAAGCTCATCCATTATTGCAAAGGCTTCAAGACAGAGATTTTAAAAAAGCCCAGGAAGCAGCCAGGCCAGAAAACAGTCCCTTTCCCCACTAGGTTAGCCCTTCTTCACTCTGACCTGTTGAGAAGTTCAACAAACCTCATTTCACCCTCACCTTAAACCTCATAATCACTGATGCAAGAGCTGCTGTTTTATCTCGGTGCCGGCAGATTGCCCCGTGACTCTTTGGCAGAGGCTGCTCAGTCACACGCTGTCTGCAGGCTGCCGTTCCCAGCCGTGCCCGGGGTTACACCCGACCCATCACAGACCGGCCATTCCCAGCCCCTACAGATCCGCCTTCTGGTCCCGCTGATGCTTTTGTGTCCTAACGAGTACAGAATGATGACGGTAATTATTTGCAGCCCAGTAGGGCCTAGAGGAATTGGAAGAGTATAGAAGTCTATGCCTGTTATGCTGTGTGAAAGTGTACTTTGATCCAAAGCGAGGGGTACAGCCTGTACACACAGATCAGTGTCTGCAAGTGCAACAGCTGTAACACAACAGGGCTAGCCCCCAGGCTGAGCACAAAGCCCGTGCTGATGTTCTCATGCACTGGGAAACCAAAATCACTCCTTGCCCTCCGGACTGTAACCGAGGGAGGAATCAAATTTATGACTAGGATCTTGCCAGAGCTGAACCTGATGTGACCTACTCCTTTACTTCTGCTTATTGGTGATGTTTCTAGGGGTCCCAGTGGTGGATTCATACCCCATTTGACAGTGCACAGCACAACAAAATCACAGTTCCCGTCTTTTTATAGACTGTTGCTTTCTTGCTCATATTACAGGCTCTACAAAAACATCTGTGGACATAACAGAAACATCAGTCAACTCCTGGGAGCTCCTGGCCTATGGGTCAGGTGGAGGCAGAATGGGAGCAAGTCAGAAGAAGCCGTGAGCATGGTTGGGAGAGGCTACGTGCAGCCCAAAGAAACAGGGATTCACATTGCTTTGAAAATTGAAAGCTTAAATTATCTTGGTATTTGATGATAGCAAGCATTTGGTAATGATAGCTAGTAAATGCGTGGGAATGGTATGTTTAATATTCTGCACCCTAGAAAGAGAAAGCTTTTGAGCTCCCCTGCAGTTTAATGTTTTAAATGCTGGATGGTTCATGGGTATTCGATTGTGTCAGGGACTGTGTGTGTATGAGAGAGAATGAATTTGCAGGTGAATTTGCAAAAATGAACATCTAGCAGGATACTTGCACATAAAGCCACTGAAGTACCAATCGTTCAGACTTCTCTTGCTGAGATCCATCCAAGTTTCCTTCCTCCCACAGAACAAACATAATAGTAATAATAATAGGAATTGTAATAGTAACAACAATAACATATAGTCCCTTCTACTGCACTTTTCATCAGCGAAGAAATGCTCCGAAAAATTCATTTCAATCATTCCCATTCTTCAGAGTTCATAAAGGAAGCCAGCCAGCACAAAACATTGGCATTTATTGGGTGCTTTCAGACAGCTTAGCCTTTTGGTTTTCTAGACAATCCAGGAATCTCTTTAGAGTATACACCTAGATGAAACAGGTCAGGTGGGGAAAATGTCAGATTGCTGATGGCAAATTTAAGATAGTCACAACCCCTTCAAATTCTTAACACTTGACAGAATTGTTGCTTTGTACTCTGGAACATAGGAAGTCATAGTGAGAGAATCAGAAAATCAAACAGTCCCTATAGCTTTTAAGACCTGAAGTGCAACTTCAGTTAGTCTCAGACTGTTGAGAGAATATTGCTTATTCCTTTTGCTCAGAGCATCTTGCATTCTTTTGCCTACATCCCTGGGAAAGAAATGGCAAAAGGGTGCTTGGTATGTTGCCTCAGGTGTCCTCTTGCTTGAGAGTTATGTATTGTATAAAATGCTCTTGGCAGTGCAGAAAATTTTAGGATGTGTGTATAGTTCCCTATGCTTAATGCAAGGTTATGTACTAAGGACCTACTGCCCATGAAGCCACCCAATCTAGCCTTGCTTTTTCCACTTTATTTCCACCATGCAGCCTTGTCTGCTTATTTTCTCCTGACTGAACAACAGTCCAAGCTGCTAGATTTACTCACCCTCTTTTGTTTCACTGGGTTTTAGTACTTAGTTTTGTGGTGTCTCAAGTGCAATGAGTGTAAGAGGAATGAATAATAACATGAGCATGAGCTTACAACCAAGTTATGTACCGAATTAAATTCAGCAGTCAGCTGTGTGAACAATTATCAATTTTACCTGTCATAGTTTTTGCAACTCATAAATCTCTTTTCACTCCTTTCAGTTTCTCATATTTTTTCCCTAGATTCTGAGATAATTTGGCATTAACTAGAATGGGACCTGGTTTAAAACCTCTTCTCTCTACCTATCAAAGAAAGGCAGCACACAGGCAGTGCTACTCTTGTGGCACCTTGTTAGTCTTGCTGCTTGTTTTGCACAGTGATAGTTACTCTTCTTTGTGCACATTACAGCACTTGTGTGTTGTAGCTGTTACCAGCTACCAAGCTGCCCTTAAACAGGAAAGTGGAGGAAGTGACCATCATGTTACAGTGACTTTAGGTGTAATGAACCTTGCTTGTTTGCTTGCCAGTTGCCTCACCCACATAATTTCCTTAGTCTTATTTATAAGCAATGCTGGTGACTCCTCTTTGGATACAAGGACATGCTTCCTTAGAGAATCAAAACTTCAAAATATTTGTTATGTGCATTGTTTCGGTGTTGGGTCTTTATTTAAATTACTTCCCATTTGTCTTTGTTTGTTTGCAGGATGCATTCATTTTCATGCCTCTTCATCTTTCAGTACAGTCATTAATGAGACCACAAAGGTGTGTGCATTAATTTGTAATGTCAATAAAGCAGCCTGAATGTTCCCTGGAGCCACACCATCTGTCACAGTGGGGACACACCTTCTCCCCTCCTCCTCGTGCTGCACCCTCTGTATTCACGCTGAGAAAGCTAATTGAGATGGGAGGTCAATGTCCATCTGGAAGGGAAGAAGTACAGTGAACTGCAGTAGGATTTGTGGGGTCTGGAGAGGAGAGACCTGTTCCTGGAACTGGTTAAGCAAAGGGGAAAGGACTATACTGGGCTGATACACAAAAAGGAAAGGCCAAATGTAGGCAATCTGTCAGCATTGAATTTGCCTCTTTTGCCTGATTTTGCTGTCTCCCTTCTCATCACCTACCAGGGAGGTAGAATTGGTTTAATCTGAATTTCACAGAGTCATGCAAGGTCCACTGCATTGCTTTCAGCACTGAGGCTGTCCTCCATACCCTGGGGACCTTGCTGGTGTCTGCTCACAGCCCTGGTCCCACAAAACAGCAGGCATTCAGCTCTATCTGTATTCTTGGTTTGCATTTTCATTTTTTCCCTTGAATCTGTTAATTTATTTAAATTCCTCCTCTCATACCTTGATTCCATTACAGCCCTCTTCTGTACAGGTCAGACTGACCTGCTCTTCTCTTTTTAGACAATGTAGCATGATCCTTCGTCTTTAGGGAAAAAAGCCTGTAACTCTGGGGTGCTTCATTCCTGCATCTTTCTGTTTATGACAGATCGAGGGCGTTGACATCTGTCCTGTATTGGGTAGCAGGAATTACCATGTTACTAATATTTCTCTCCAGATAATGTAGTTGGCTCATGGCAATTTCTGTGGAGCAATCCTGCATATTGGCTCTGCTTCTGGCTACAGATGCCATTGCTGGAGATCAGAACTTTTGGGAAAAGCAGGAGATTTCACCGTTACCTGAACAGCTCAAAAGTGGCAGTGGAGTTTGCAGAGGCTGGTAACAGGACAGCGGTGCCTACAAAATTCTTGAGATGCCAGCTGAGGTAATGCCAAGCTCGTGACTGTAGTGTGCCATGGCCTATGGAGCTGCTGCAAAAATAGGGGCAAGAGACAACATGTGGAAAGGGCTCCAGACTCACCAAGGCTGGAATCACAGTAAAGGCAAGGAAATCTACTGATGTGATGAGAGGTGAGGAATAACAAAAAGTTATGAATTGCAGAGTGGTACGTGCTGGGAGAAGTTGGGGGTGTTGCAGGACATTTTATGTGTTTTACATAACAGGTAATTTTCAATGCTTTCAGGGTCACTGGATAAGACAACATGATCTGGTCACCAAGTGCTGTTCCCTGCTATTGTAGGCCCACTGTCATTCAATCCCTTATTGTAAACTGATCAAGCTTTATCTTTAAAGTAATCAAGTCCCATTCCCCCACAATGCTCATTGGGAGACAGAGTCTTTTTTGTCTGATGGTTAGGAACCATCTATCTCCTAATTACCAGGTTAAATGTATATATGGTTAGCTTGCATTCATTTGTCCTTGTGCCAACATCTTATTTTAGCGAATATAATTACTGTCTTTTGTTGCTGTTTTTGCTCAGAAGTATTTCTAGAGAGTTGTTGTACCTGCACTCATTTGCATTTTGCAAATGGAATATGTCACTCAAAGGAAAGAAAAACTGTGCTGCATGGAGACATCAACCCCTCTTTCCCCAATATGTAAAAGCAGTTAGCCCTTGGTATGGAGGTAAATATAG